ATCTATCTATCTATCTATCTATCTATCTATCTATCTATCTATCTATCTATCTATCTATCTATCTATCTATCTATCTATCTATCTATCTATCTATCTATCTATCTATCGTTTGTAGAAATGTGTAAATAATTATTGAAACTGAAACAATGGTTTAGTTTGTTGCTTCACTTTTCATTGAAATAAATCAGTTTTAAAACCAAAGTTTTAATTAATTTCTTTACCAAACGCTGGAAACTTTTCTAATGTTTGATTTCACGTCTTCAAGGCCGGTGTACGTGACGTGATGAATTTCGAGGCACACGTCTATTGTTGCTCCAGTGAAAGGACAGAGTGTGGGAAACCAGAGGAAACTCACTCTCAAAGTCGCTGTGGGACAATAGACGCCGACCTTTGACCTGAAGAGACGCAGCCTCACAAGAGCCTGGTGTCGACACCAGAAACACTCCGAGATGCTTTAAATCCCTGATTTGATTTCTTTTCATTATAGATGTTTAATAGGAATGCATTATGTTGTCAAAACTTTAAATTTCAACACCTAAAATATAAATCATAACATATTTTAGTGTTCAGATGAACTATTATTAACTTTTCAGTAAATTCACACACATTATTCATCCGGTCTCTGAAGGGATTCAGCACGTGCCAACAAACGGCTGATCATCACATGCTCCTAATTTATTTACAGACAGATTGATCGGTACAAACAAATCTCCCAGCTTAAAAAAACTTCTATTTTAAAAACTTTCATTATCATTTCAGCTTTGACTGGATATAATGAAAGTTAAAACATCTTTTCCTTCCTTTCTTCGTGCTTTAAAATGTCCGTCTCTCTGTATCTAACAGGAAATCTGCCTCAAACGTCCTGCTGTGGTTTACTGACAGACTTTTACGAAAGAGAAACACAAACGCTGCAAACAACCAATAAGTCTGAACACTTTTATAGTTGATAAAGCAATAAATCAGCAATAAATCAGCAATAAAACCAAATGTGTTTTATGTGAAATGAAATTTAAAAGGGAAATGCTAAAAAAAAAGGCTCATACCGTCATGTTTAGATTGAGGTTCTGAAGAGTGATGAAATGTTTTTTGCACTGGACACTTTTTAAGGACTCAAGCTTTAAAAAACTCTGTGGACGCTGTAGCTCGGTGGTCAGGGGTTTGAGCCCAGGTCTTAAAAGAATCCCAACATTTCCCACTGTGGTGGTGACCCTTTCAGAAGGGAGACGGTGAAATAAAAACAACCACAAGCTTTAATAAAGTTTAATCAGCTCTCCATCTTCTGCACGTGGGATAAAAGTAGAAGCTTGCAGAGGAAATTGGTGCATCAAGCAAATGATCGGCTCTAAAAAGTCTTTAAAAAAAAAACAATCGTGTGGCGCTCGTTAACAACCTCCCATCACCCCCGGTTCTCCACCTGCTCCCCTGAGAACAAACTATTACCGCTGAGCATGTGGTAGGCCCCACTTCCATTCTCTTCGTCCTGCCAGCTGATTGGTCCAAACTGTGGGAAACTCCATCCAGACCAAGACCCACACTTTCACATGGAGATGTGTGAGTATAAATAGAAGAGTTGAAGACAGCGGAGCAAAGATTCTCTCTGCAGAGACCAGAACGTCACTGCTTCCATCATCTCTCAGGAGCATCTGAACCACAAGGTAAATATGAAATCTATGATAAATCACTTATATGTTAGCTTGTAAAAACCATTACATCCAATAAGTTTATTAATGACTCTGTTCCTGTTTGTGCAGCTCAGGAAGCCTCTGGTGGAGAAGTTACGCAGAGGGAGGATCAACAGCAGCATCGAGCAGCTCAAGTCTCTCCTGGAGCTCCTCAAACAGCAGCCAGACTCCAAGCTGGAGAAAGCAGACATCCTGGAGACGACCGTCTGCTTCCTGACACGACTGCAGCTGCAGCAGGATCCAGCTGTGGACTCAGCAGCTGCTGATCAGGTCTACTCCAGATGTGTCCAAGAGGTAGTGCACTTCCTGTCCAAAGACCAGGAGAAGACCCGGTCCCACAGAAGACTGCTGGACCACTTCAACAAGCTGCAGTCTGAGAAGAACCTGAGAGAGGCTGACTTCTGTCCTCTGAGCTCCACAGTCCAGACCAGAGTCCAGTCTGCAGCGCCCCCTGGAGGCCCTGGAAGACACTGCAGGACTGGAGGGAAACTAACAGATCATATTGATCAAAGATTCCTGGACGTTATAGTAATATGTTTGATCAATTTGTTCCTCTGAATTTACAGAAGAATTTATTTGTAACATTTTTCCACATTTTGACGATTCCTATGGAAACGACAACAAATAAATGTGAACGAATGTAAACGATAAACTTTAGATGACCATATTGGTCAACAAAAAATGAGATTTCATAAAAATAATTTCTGTATTTACAGGAACTTGTTGAATTCTCCTGTGGTAAAACACGATTCTATGTGAAAACAATTCCTGCGGAACAGAGGTGCAAAAGATGAAAAGTGCCAAACTCAGTTTGTTCACGTTTAAATTTGTTCCTTCATTGTTCTTTTGTAGAACCTTATATTTAAACTGACTCAGTTGTAATGCTTATATTTGTGTCTGTTTCAGACATTTTGTTTCTTTTAGTTTAAAGAAAGTGCTCTAACGTGACCTGTTGCCTGCATCAGTCAGTGATGATGGACGGACGGTCGGTCGGCTGCTGTCTTTTGTAAAGACCACGCTCCTCTGCTCTTTTCTTGAGTGAAGTGTTCGGGAAGTGTTTCCAAGTTTTGTTGTGATGCATCATCACTTGTCTGGGACTCCAGTGGAAGATCTCTGTATTGTGGGAATTTGTTTAAGAATAAAAACAATCCAAACTGTGCATTTTCTGTTTGTGTGTTTCTTTTCTTTTTTTTTAACTGAGAGACAGAATAAATATTTCTATGCATGTTGGGCACCTCTTATTCTACACCTCGGAAGTGAGTCTACATTTGTATCTCCGTTAATGCGGCCCGAACCACAACGCCTACCCCCACAAAAGTTATATCAAAACGACCGGCTCGGCTCCGAGATGTGTGCTATTACTTTTATTGGCAATTGGCGTTACCATGGCAACATATTTTGCTAACGAAAATGACAAATTTCCCTTAGGAAATGAATAGAAGAAAACTTTTCAAAGAAACTGAGTAACGTCGGGAGCCATTTTGGTTCAACATGCATGGAAGGCACCTATTATCACCTATTCTTATTATTAATTAGTAAAAATAATCATTAACATAAATTACCAATGATTCATTTTTATAACATGAATTATTGCTCATATTAATAATTCATATTTAATATTAATATTGTTATCAAATATATTAATATTTTATAATAATTAATAAATTGTCAATATATTAATATTATTTATTAATATTATTCATCCATCCATCCATCCATTTTCTTTTACCCGTTAATTCCATTTTGGGTCACGGGGGTCGCTGGTGCCCATGTCCAGCAATCACTGTGCGAGGGGCGGGGTACACCCTGGACGGGTCTCCAGTCCATCACAGGGACACATAGAGACAAACGAGACAAACAACCATTCACTCTCTCACTCACACCTAGGGACAATTTAGAGTTACCAATCAGTCTAACATGCATGTTTTTGGTCTGTGGGAGGAAACCAGAGTACCCGGAGAAAACCCACGCATGCACGGAGAGAACATGCAAACTCCACCCAGAAAGGCCCCCGGACCGGGGTTTGAACCAGGGACCTGCTCGCTGAGAGGCAGCAGCTCTACCAGTTGCGCCACCGTGCTGCCTATTAATATTATTATTTATTAATATTTATTATTAATAATAATGTATTAATAAATAGGCAGTCCCCGTCAAAGTTTCTCCAGGAACTTTCTAGTTTATTTTTTATCATACTTCATTCACTAACAACAATGTACTGAACAAAAGTTAATTTATTCCATGTTTTGCAAATTAAAAAGACTGAATCGAAACATCTATTTTAAACAAAGGCGAGTTAAGCGTGGACTGACTTTTTATAGTTGCTCCAAATATAAAACCATAAAAATCAGCAGCACAAAATCCCTTTGGATCTTAAAGTCTGGCGTTCTTTAAAGAAATGCAGGTCACTTTAATCTAAAACCATTTTCAAATTAAAAGGGGCGGAGTTACCATCATTTTAACCCTGAGAATATGTATATGCGTGATCGCGTGCAATATTGTGAGCTGTATTAGTTGTATGGGTTGATTGCAAAAGCAAATGAGTTGTCGTTGTAGACCCAATCAAACTTTTTGGGAGTTTTACTAACAGTGGTTCGTGAAATATTTTGCTAACAGGCAAACAGGGTTGATGGTTAATTCATGACTCTCAGCTACTTTCACACCTAATTTGAGCTCAATATCTGTAAACCTTGTTGCGTTATAGAATTTTTTGTGTTTTCTAAAATTGCTTAGTGGTGGCCATCTTGAGTGACGTTGACCCTAAACGTTGATCATAGATGTCCATCCATGGATTAGTTTCAGAGAGTTTCATTAAAATCCGTCTGCTTCATGAGACATTTTGATAATGATGCACATAAAGACGGCCTAAAACGATGACTTCTACCTTTGGCGTACGATAATAATCTGAACATGAAGCAAAAAAAAGAATCATCATTTGGAACATTTAGGCAAATAAGTTGAATAATATTATAGATCAGCTTTAAACTGCGACATATTGATATGACATCCTGCCTTCAGACTAAAAAGATTAAAAAAACTTGCAAAACACCAAAGTTCATGCTCAATAATCCAGGTAAAAATCCAGCAATGTTCAGTCAGGTCATCTGGATGTTTTTTTTTTTGTTGTTGAGACGTTTCGTCCTTCATCCAAAGGATTTCTTCACTCTTCAATTCAATCTTCTTCAATTGGATTTTATACCTGGATGATTGAGCATGAACTTTGATGTTTTGAACCACTTTGGCATGACCGTCCCAGAGGAGTTGATAGAGGAGAGGGTGAGCTCCGGAGGCCATTTAAGCACCAGCAAACTGTTTTTGTCCACTATGGAGTATGCTGTTTGTGGGAATCAGTTTGTTTGGTGGCTCCTCAGACTGAAGAAGTCCTTTGGATGAAGGACAAAACATCTCTGCAAAAAAAAAAAAAAAGAAACCGTCCAGGTGACCTGACTTAACATTGTTGGACTTTTATAAAACATTCAGTATTCATACAAATTATTCTTTTTTTTTTTTTAAATCAAAATTGTTTTTTTTTTTTTTTCTTTACAAATTGTATTTTTGTTGGATGTAACTGGGACCCTGTGTACACAGGTTCCTTCCACCTCATGTACCACATGTGACGTGAATGACAATCAAGAACCTTGAAAAACTTTCTTTTGAATCAAAATCGAGTCACGTGCAAATTAAAAAGAAACATAAAAAAAAATAAATTGATCTGGATGTGTTAAAAACAAGTGATTCTACAAAACGAGCCTGGATTTTAGACGCTTGCCTTCATGTCAATTAATGGACGAAGTGTGGGAAAAGTCTCCAGAGCAGAGTTTAGCATAATTAGCTCCGTGAACCACCAGCAGTCAAGTCTTCTCAAAAGGGATTTGGCACGTGTCGAAAAGCAGCTGCCTCTGTCCACCCCCAACCCCCTGCTGCTTCGTATGCAAAGATTAGACTTCTGATGACAAATAAAAACATAGTAACCAAATAAAATGAGAGAACCTGATCCTTCTTTGTGATTTCATTTGTCTCCATATATCTGGGGAAGTCTTTGCTTGAAGTTGTGAATTGTCTCTGTTTTTAGAGAGTGGGAAAAGTAACGAGGATGGACAAATTCCTTTACATGGAGATGGAGCGATCCTTTGTGTAAGGAGGCACACTTCTGTTGTCTTGGTGAACGGACAGAGTGTGGGAAACACACTCACAGAGACGCAGAGGGACAACAGAGACAGACCCATGTCCAGATGAGAAGTGGAAGCAAGTGAAGGCCTGCTGGTTAATAAAGGAAATATTATGAAAAGACTAAAAATGTAATTTCTACCACTACAAGTCTGAATCAAACGTGTGGTGCGGCCAGTCATGTCGTTTCCCTCCAGATGGTTCGCTGACGTCAGACTCCGCCTCTCTTCGAGCGCACGTCCAGCATCTGTCCCAGAAGCTCCTGTCAAAGTCCCTTTGTGGCGCCGTGACCGCATCATTCACGCGCCGAGTGTGGGAAACTGGGAACAGAGTTCTGCTCACGCCAGACAACAGCGAACACACCTCCCATTGATGCGCACACCTGCTGCTGCTTTTGTCTCACTGTGCAGGTAAACACAGAAACACTGAAAACCAGTGTAACAAGCAGAAAGATTCAAAGTGACACAGCTGTGAATGCAGGATGTCAATACTGACACTGTATTAAAGTAAACACAAAAGGATCTCTTTATAGATTTATCGGTGCTGTTAAATTATGACTTCAGGGGTGCTGTGACACATACGAAATGAAAAATAAAGCACTCTCCAAGGTTCATATGAGCTCTAAGTGTTTTTCCCTCTCCCCCAGTCCTCCACCTGCTCCCCTGAGACCAAACTATTATCCTTACTAATATGACCTCCGAGCATGTGGCAGGCCGGAGTCCCATTTACTCTTTGTCCTCCGATCTGATTGGTCAATAGACTGTGAGAAACTCCATCCAGACCAAGACCCACACATTCACATGGAGATCTGTGAGTATAAATAGAAGGGATGAATCCAGCCGAGCTCAGATTCTGTCTGCAGAGACCACTCCAGGACAAAGGTTCAACCATGGCTCCTAAAGTCAGCGCAGAAATGATCCATGGTCAGGAGCATCTGACTCTGAACCACAAGGTAAATATGAGATCTATGCTACATTATTTTTTATTAGTTGAAATCAACGTCACACTTTAAAACAAGTGAACTAATGACTCTGTTCCTGTTTGTGCAGCTCAGGAAGCCTCTGGTGGAGAAGTTACGCAGAGAGA